TCCAGGGTAGTCTCCCTTTGAGATTTCTTTGTTGTTTGTACTTCCATTTTTATGTCCTGGATGTTTTTATCTAAATTCCTTCACTGTTTGGTTGTGTTTTCTTGCAAGTTTTAAAGTGATTTTTGTGTTTCCTCCTTAAGGACTTCTACCTGTTTACCTGTGTTCTCCTGTATTTCTTTAAGGGAGTTATTTATATCCTTCTTAAAGTCCTCTAGCATCATCATAAGAAGTGATTTTAAATCTGAATCCTGCTTTTCCAGTGTGCTGGGGTGTCCAAGACTTGCTATGGTGGGAGAACTAGTCTCTGATGATACAAGGTAACCTTGGTTTCTGTTGCTTATGTTCTTGTTCTTGCCTTTCACCATCTGGTTATCTCTAGTACTACCTGAACTCACTGTCTCTGAGTGGAGCCTGTGTTTCCAGTTATCTTGTGTGTGTCAGAACTCCTCAGAGTCCAGCTGTCTCTGTGAAAATGTGATCCTGAGTTCCTGGGTGAAAGTGCGCTGGAACTCAGGTTGCCTCTGGGATCCTGAAATCCTGCTGCTCTGAGTGCAGTGGTTCCTCTGCTGCTCTGAGTGCAGTAGTTCCTCTAGTATGAATCAGGATGTAGAGTCTTCTGCTCTGTCTGTAGTGGTTCATGTTGCTATGAGTACATTGCTTCCTCTAGGACAGGTCTGGATATGGAGTCTTCATGGGAGCAGATCAGCCAGGAGAATGTCCCAGTCAGAAAGGCCAAGCTAGGGGCAGAAGGGGAGTGGTTTTCTGGAGGGTGGGGTTTGGGTAGGGGATGGATTCTGAGTGCCCCAGGCTCCCAGCTGCAGCTCTGGTGTATAGGGTTGTGGGGGAAATTTCTTACCCACTAGTCTAAGTGCAGTGGTTCCTCTAGGACTGGTCATGATGTGGAGTCCTCATGGACACAAACCAGCTAGGAGTCTACCCCAGCCAAAAGGACCAAGTGAGGGCTATTTGTTTCCTCTTTAAGGGCTTCTCCCTGTTTGCCTGTGTTTTCCTCTATTTCTTTAAGGGAGTTATTGATATCCCCTTTAAAGATGTCTGTTATCTTCATGAGATGGGATTTTAGGTAAGAACCTTGATTTTCAGGTGTGTTAGGGTATCCAGGGCTTGCTCTGATGGTAGAAGAACTGGGTTCTCAGGGTGCAGAATTGCATTGGCTTCTTTCACTTATGTTCCTGTACTTGTGTGTCACTGGTTATCTGTGGTGTTAACTGGCCTGGGTGTCTCTGACTGGAGGCAGGTAAAGCTCTCTGACCTGGGTAAGAGTCAGCCTCCTGGGTGGCAGACAATGCTGTCTCTAGTTCAGATGGCCTCTTTTTTCTCTGGTTAGAGCAAACTTCCTGTTTAACTGGTTGAGATGAACCTCCTGATTGTCAGGTAGGTTTTAGATTTCAGGGCCAGGATCTGCTCCAGATGCAGATGGTGGTACAGACCAGAAGGACTGTGTCTCTGGTTATGGCAGACATCCTGTGTCCCTGATTAAAGCAGACATTTTGTTCCTGGTTACTGTAGACCTCCTTGGAGGCAGGCAGGTTGTGGAGTATGGGAGGTTATTGAACCCAATGATCTGGCCTAGGTGGAGAGAAGCAGACCAGAAGGAAGGTGGAGTATAAGCAGGGGGCTGGGAGACAATGTAGGTCCTGCAACAACTGTGCTCTGTAGGTGTGCCAGCTGCTATGGATGTTTGGGCGAAAGTCTCACCTGCATCCATGGATATGGCAGACCTCCTGGGAGACAGGCAGGATGTAGGGTATGGTAGGGTATTTGACCCTCACATCTGACTCAGGTGGAGAAGCAGAATGGAAGGAATATGGAGCTTGGGCAGATGGAATAGTTCCTCCCTCAGGTGGGGTCTTTATGTGTCCCAGCTGGCATGGGTATTTGGGTGGCAGTCTCAGCTTTGTCTCTGGTTATTGCATACCTCCTTTGAGATAGTCAGGCTGTAGTGTATGGGAGGGTATCAAGCCCACTGATCTGGCCCGAGTGGAGAATTACTTGGTATTTTCCTCTTTGACTCAGTGATTCCTGGCTAGCTAAATAAGTGGCTCAGAGTTTTTTTAACTGTTCATGAACCAGAGAGAAAAGAAGAGAAGAGAGGAGAGGAGAAGAGAGGAGAGGAGAGGAGAGGAGAGGAGAGGAGAGGAGAGGAGAGAAAAAATAAGGCACACAAACAACATGCACAATGGATGAACCTGAAGGCTGCACTGCTTCTTTATCATTGTTCTTAGATTTTATACTTTCTCAGGATAATTGATAACTTGGTTTCTAAGCATTTTTACATTCCATAAATTCATAGTAAGTTTATATGGCAATGGTTCATGGCATAGATCTAAAGGACTTGATTTACAGCAGAACTGTTTACATGTCTTTCCATTAAGACTAATATATGTTTTCTAGCCTCAGTAAGTTCGTTATAATTTTAAAACAATATTTTTATATCATGAATTAGCATGATTTTGTCAAGGGAAAATCCTCTGCCTTATGTCTTATTATTTTGATGTCCTGTATAGGTATACTAATCCATCATTTATTTTCTATCCATGCACCTACAATAAGTTGCCCGTTCTCAGTTTATTACCTTTAGTTACAAAATAGTGGCCTCATTCCTAACCAAGAAGGAACAGTTCCTAGATTGTAAATTTGTTCCAAACTTGTTTTCTTTTCTTAATGCAATTTGCCCATGACATATGAAGGTCTACAGAGCTCTATTTGCAGCTTTTATTCTATAGGGGGCTTGAGATTACTTGTATCAATTTATAAATTCTATAAGATCATTATTGGGAATTATGAAATCATCCATTCTTCTACACAGCATTACTAAATGAAAGTATATCTTCATATTGACTCTGAAGGAGATCTGCCCAACATGCTGGGCTGATGCCCAGGAACCATCATGCTTTGTATTAGTGGCAGCAAAGGCATATCAGCTGCAAGTGTCATTCATCAGGTGAAGTTTCTAAGGACCCAGCATCTTAGAGCACACCCACTACAACCATGTAAGATTGTAGACCATCTCTAGAAAAGCCACTTGCCATAGCCTTTCCTTCATAGATTCTGACAGATGATATATGCTTAACTTATAAAAGTGTCTCTCTTATCTCAAGCAAGTAGTGAAGCTGAGGTGAGACAAGATGAATTGTGCTCTCTGATGGTTTAATTACATCAAAAGGGGATGACCCTACAGTGTTAACAACATAATGGCTGTCATTGAAGAAGGTAAGAGGGAACAAGTAGCAATAAGCAGCTTCAATATGGCCAAGTGTTCACCCAGTTGGAAAGAGCCCTTCAAGGAATGGGTGTTGGTGCTCCCAGGGCTCCCAGGGCTCCCAGGGTCTTGGAGACATAGCTGAATTTAGTATATAGAATTATATATCCTAATATATACAGTATTTATTATATGAAATTATATACCCTACCATATAAGAAGATCTATATAGTCTAATTATAAACAAATAGTCAGTAAACCTGGATACAACTTGGTTGAGGGGATCAGATACAAGTTGTCTTTAATGGCAGTTAGGCATAACTGGCAATGTAGATAGGACAGTGCTCTTAGGATAATGTTTATCTATTCTCACATAAACCATTGAAAACCTGGGTATACTTATTGTGGCCTTGGGTCCAGCCAAGAAGACACTCGGCCACTGGAAATACTATAGCATCTGGGGCCTGTTTAAGGATAAGCTGGGGGATTTTTATAACTTTGATTTCCAGGAGAAATAAATTGTCCCATGATGGTGTGATATTAGGCAACATAGTATAGGCTAGGTGCAGGCAATCAATGAGGGGCTCCCATGAGGGGCTGAAACAGAGCCCCTGTGGGGAATACTTTGGTTGGCAAGATCAGGTCCTGAACCCAAGGCTGGGATGGTAAAGATGCAGGAACACATTATTAACGGCCCCATTTACTGTATTTAGGTTCTTCTTTGTTGTCTCAGTAATTTTCATCTCACTAGTGGAGGCTCTACTAACCAGTAAGGGAAAAAAAGGAGTGAAGTGTGTGGTACAGAGGGGTGCATCCAGGTAAATTTCCTCATGAAATTTTGAACGGAGGCTAGGGTATCTGCCATAGAGAACTGAAATTGTTGCCTTTGAGAATTAATATGGTGTTGAGTGACCATGAAAATGGAATGATTGCTCAGAATGTATCATATCAGATATGTCTACTAGCCCTGCACTTCAAGGATTATTTCAGTTCCTGAATCAAAGTTTTTAAGCAACTAGAGTCGGAGTGACAAATTTTTATGCTTTGTAATGGACAATGTAATGGACAACATAGTACTTGGCAGTGAGATGTAAGATTGTGTTCCAAATGAATATATGGCAAATGGTGGGGCTGTTTTAATGTCCTGTGGCAGAACCCTCCATAGGCATTACTGGGCAGGCACATTATTATTGACTGCTTGAACTGAGAAGATAAAGCACAGAAGAGCATCCACAATGTAACACTGAAAATCATGCTAAAAAATTGAGTCATGGCAGGCAGATGACATAATACAAGTTATAATTCCCTGCGTAAAAAACCTATACATATTTGTTGAGTTTCAAAAAAACCTAAATGAATGGACTACTTTTTATGTTCTGGACAAAATAAATTCCAAGAGCAACGTGCACATAGGTATAAAATACTCAATGACGCAGTTGGAGGTCACTGATTACAAAAGAGAACACAGAGGCAAAGTAAATAAAGAGATATGCAGTGAGAGACCTCTCTGCCTCATCCAGGAGATGTAAAGGCTTAGGCACTGGAGCACCAGTGCTGTCTGCCAGAAGAAATTCACTGAGCTAACATATTTTTCAAATTGTGTACTTAAAGCAATCACTTAAATTTAAGACAAACTAAATTCTTAAGATTTTATGTATATTGGACAAAATCTTCTGGTTTGCTATGTAGGTTTATTTTTCATTTCTTTCAAATCGAAATTTGTCATGAAATGCAGGTGGCTGTGGACAGCTATGGCTCCATACTGCTTGGTACACTACACTTAGTACAACATATTCTTACACTCCATGGAACAGAAAACCATCCCTTCTACAGGCATGAACTTCTGCCCAATGAGACACTTGCTGCAGCAGGAGCATAGGAAGCATGCCATGGATGCATGCCAGCTGAATTGTTTGTAGGTTACTCTCTGCTCTTCTGGGTCAATGGCATTGTGACATCCTTGACACACTACAGCATGGTTCCTCATGTAGCAGGACTTGCACACAGGCTTGGATCTGACCATCACATATACTTTTCCTGCCAGAACCTTGTTGCAGTTAAAGCAGCAGAAGTGTTTCAGATGCCAATTCTGGTTCTCTGCTTGGGTATATTCATTGCTGAATATCAATGTGAGGGGCGCGCGCGTGTAGTCGTCTCGCCGGCAAAAACATACACACACACACACACACACACACACACCAGAATCCTTCCGTAGAAACACGTTTATTCCCATAAACCAAAATGGTGGTAGAAGACGACCCCCAGCCCTGGGAAAAGCCCTTATATACCCTAGAGCGGCGTAATCACCTCTGATTGGCTGTATACTCGTTGCGCGCCAAACGCCGTGGGATGGGCTTAGCTTTGGCGGTCTTTACCATGGCACATGCGCACTTTATTTGTTTACTAGGAAGAATTATGGCTGACAGCGCCACCTAGCGATGGCGGACTTTGCCAGCACCTGCCGCGGCTCCCAACATCTGCCCCTTTTTTGTTTTAAAAACAGAGGGTGGTGCTCAAATGTTTGAGGCTTTACAGGGTGCCTATACCAGAAGCCCTAGGGTGCAGCAGCTGAGGAATCTGTCTGCTGGCTATTTCTTTTTTGATTTGTTAAACAGGCACTGGCCAATGTCCCGTGTCTAGGCTGACTGACATTTCTCCACAGCCAGCACCAAAGAATGGTGAGCTCTCTGGCTAGGCTACGAGGGTCGCGCACCCACACCTGGCATTCTCAGAATGTGCGCCCCAGGTAGTGGTCACTCGTGATGCCTGTCACCGGGTAAAATCACCATTCGTGGTGTACCTCTGGCATATGAGATCAGCTTATTCCCGTCGTTGGGACCAATTGGCAGCCGGCCTGGAGACAAAAGGATGGAGTTATTTAACTGGCTGTTCTGGCCTGTCTAGTGTGGTACCAGTTATGACTCAAACCCATGGCCGATCGAGCGAATTCCATCTTGGGGGAATAAGCGTTCAAGAACCAACAGTTTAAGGCAGTCTCCCTTACCCTACCAGGTGCAATGGAAACGAGTCCTCTGGGTGCAAGGGCTAAGGGGAACAGAAAGAGATGCAAACACCCATCCCTGTGCAATGGAGTCATCTCCTAGGGGTGCAAGGGCTGTTTGTCTCAAAATTCAGGTACCACAGCTATACAGACAAGGATCAACCAGGCCAAGACTCCTCACTGACCCAGTGTAATGGGCAAATCTTCTGGGGTGCAACGCTGATGGCCTAACATTTAGCACCACCACTCGTGAGGGGGAGACTGCTTATAATTGAGGCAGTGATAACCACACTGCCGGGGAAGCCCCTAGTACTTTGGAAGCGCCTGTGCAAAAATAGCCTTGTCAAGATTTTGTTGAGCTCTGAGTTTGCAACCAACCAAGGATGAATACTAATCCACAACTTAGGGTATACCAAACAGGCCTACTCCCACCCACTTAAAAAAGGGAAGAAAAGGAAAAGAAAAGAAGAAAGCTGAAGAATTCTAGGAGGACAGTCCCTCAGTCAGGGACAGATCCACGCGCGTCGAGTTGATGTTCACCACAGCTGCTCTCAATTTTCTGAGTGTCTCACTGAAGTTTTCTGAGCAGTTTCCTGTAAGATACTGAAACAATTTTCTGGACAGATTAGTTACACGAGTAAAGTTTTTATACTGTACACTGGTGATGTAAAGTGTACCCAGTTTTTTCTCACATCTCAATTGGGCTAGTTGAAAGAGGATATCCAATCTCTCTCTCACTAAATCAAGGCGTTGATTAAGGATCATTAGCCCGCCTTTTAGTTGGGTACTGGCAGAGGTTTGAAGGTTAACAGTCTCTGCCACCGTGGCTGACAATTGGGGGTAGTGCCCACCTGAACAGAAGTTGACACAGCAATCTCAGTGGTAGTGGCGGTAATGGCACTAATTAATATCGTCGTCACTATGGCTGCAGTTATACCAAAATCTCTTTTTTGTCTAAATAATGACAAAGTGGAAGGAGTCTCCACGGGGATGGGAACCCATCGCGTGACTCTGGCAACCATAGCATGAGTGAATCTTTTAGAATTCCAACACTGGGACATCTAGCAGGTTTTATTGGTACAATTCTTAAAGATGGAATTTGATAAAATAAACAAAAATACTAGGAACCTGTATCCCTTGGATCAGTACAAGGGCTATCATCAGAGCCTGGAGGGTCTGTCTGGGTGTCACCTTCCAGTATCGCGAGTCGCCTCGTCAGCCGCTCTGGTAGCCAAAACGGATTGTCTTCTTCCTGTGGAAACACACAGACCGCTCCCCTGGCTCTTAATAAAACAATATCTGGGCCCTTCCATTGTCCGGTCAAAATATCCTTCCATTTCACCATCTCTTTCGGCCTCTCAGGCTCTAAACAGTGACGGTCAGCAGCTGAGTGGCCCTGACTGTCCAGGTTTAAAATATTGAGGGTAAAAAGTGCTATAGAGACGGTGACTCGTGGCACTGAGGGTAGAGTCTCCTTGACTCCTCCCTTTTGTTTTATTAGATAAGACTTAAGAGTGCGATGAGCCCGTTCTATGATGCCTTGTCCTTGAGGGTTATAAGGGAGGCCTGTCAGATGGGTTACCTCCATTTGGCGACAAAACTGTCTAAACTTTTGAGAAGTGTACGATGGCCCATTGTCCGTCTTAAGAATTCTAGGCTTCCCCCAGGCACTCCATGCCTCAAGGCAGTGTTGAATAACATGTGCTGCCTTTTCTCCGGTCAACGGAGAAGCAAATATAATTCCAGAATAAGTGTCAATGGAAACATGTAAATATCGTAATTTGCCAAAGGTTGGGATGTGAGTAACATCCATTTGCCAAATCTGTAGTGGCCGAATTCCTCGTGGATTAATTCCTACATGAGGCACTGGTAAAAATTGACAGCAATTCTGACATTGAGTAACTATATCTCTAGCTTCCTTTCTAGTTATCTCAAACCGACGACGTAACATCTCTGCTGTCACATGAAAGTTTTTATGAAAATCCTTGGCCAAATCTAATTTGGAAGATAAGGCGATAGCAACCAATTTTGTGGCTCGATCTGCTAGGTCATTCCCATGAGACATTGGGCCTGGTAGACCTGAGTGAGCCCTGATATGTGTAATAAAAACCGGGAATCTCCTATTAACTAAGGCGAATCGAATCTTTTGAAAAACTTTTACGAGTCTACTAGATGGTCTAATTAGCCCAGCCACTTCTAAGTCTTTAACTGCATTTACTACATAAAAGGAATCTGAAACAATATTTAAAGGGCCTGGAAAGGTTTCAAGAACCTCCAGAACTACCAAACATTCCACAACTTGAGGTGAGGTCTCATAATATTGTTTGGCAGTGACCTTATTATCAATTACATAAGCACCCACACCTGTCTTTGACCCATCTGTGTAAACAACCACTCCATCCGGGAGCGGCTTTTGAGATAAGACCTGTGGAAATACAATAGCTTGAGTTAAGGCAAACTGTAAAATGGGATGTTTAGGGTAGTGATTATCTATTTGACCATTAAAGGAGGTGACCAACACGGCCCAAACATCAGAGGTAGCAGTTAATATTTGAACTTGATGTGCAGTATAAGGCACTATTAAAACTTTAGGCTCCCTTCCAAAATGAGTGACAGCTGCTTTTAATCCCCGTAAGGCAAGCTGAGCAACCGCATCTGGATACCATTCAATAATCTTTGCAGGAGATGCATTAGGATGAATCCATAATAAGGGCCCATCCTGCCATAATACGGCAGTTGGTAAATGTCTGGTTTTAAAGACACATAGATTAAAAGTTTTGGTCTCATCAATGCGTTTTAGCTGAGCTTCCTGCAAGGCATCCTCCACCAATCGCAGGGCATGGTTTGCAGCCGGTGTTAACGCTCTTGGTGAGGAAATATGGGAATCTCCTTCCAGAATGTCAAACAAAGGTTTTAATTCAGCAGAGGGAATTTTCAAAAATGGTCTTAACCAATTTATATCACCTAATAACTTTTGAAAATCATTTAAGGTATGTAAATGATCTCTGCGAATTTCTAATTTTTGAGGAACTATTTTCTCAGGGTAAATAACTGTCCCTAAAAAGGAACCAATTTCTGAAATTTGAACCTTCTCTGTGGCAATATGCAGACCCCACTGTCTTAATGTAGCAATTAATAAAGGATATGAGTTCTGCAAAATGGTCAACTCTTTATGGCATATTAAAATATCGTCCATAAAATGAATCAAGAGTAGAGAAGGAAATTGTTTCTTAACAGGTTCAAGGGCCATTTGTACATACAGCTGACACATAGTAGGACTATTGGCCATGCCTTGAGGCAAAACTGTCCACTGATATCTTTTATCTGGCTCAAGGTGATTAACAGCAGGTAAGGTGAACGCAAATCTTTGCCTATCTTGCGGGTGTAGGGGAATGGAGAAAAAGCAATCCCTAATGTCTATAATTATTATCCTCCACTGCTTAGGTAAAGCAGAGAGCAGAGGCAGCCCTCGTTGCACTGAGCCAAACAGCTGCATCTGTTTATTAATGGCCCTTAGATCATGGAGAAGTCTCCATTTTCCTGATTTCTTTTTTATAACAAAGATAGGGGTATTCCAAGGAGAAGTAGAAGGTTCTAAATGACCAAGCTGTGCCTGTTCCTCAATCAGCCTTGTAGCAGCTTCCAATTTCTCAGAGGATAGGGGCCACTGAGGAACCCACACGGCTTCCTCTGTAAGCCAGGGTATGGGCAAGGAGCCCTCAGTGGCAACTAGGGAAAACCCAGACCTTGTCTCCCTGTATTACTTTCTTGTGAAATTGGGTTTAACCTCCCTTGTTCCTTTCTGCCAAGGCCTTTTCCTTCCTTATATCCCATTCTTTTCATAATATTAATAGCTTGTTGAGAGTACTCATTAGTTAGTGTCAGTCCCAGGTCTTGTAAAATGTCTCTTCCCCAGAGGTTAACGGGGAGAGGAAGCACATAAGGTATAAAGCTTCCTGTCTGACCCTCTGGCGTCTTCCAAGTCAAGGAGCGTGAACTGACGGTGGGGTTGGCCTCATATCCCAACCCTTGTAAGGAATGGGATGACTGTGTAACAGGCCACGTTTTTGGCCACCAGTTAGAGGAAATAATACTTTTATCAGCTCCTGTGTCTAAAATTCCTGTAAAGCTCTTCCCTTCTATTGTTAATTGTAAAGTGGGTCTGGTTTTGAGATCCACTACTAAATGAGCAAAGTCAGTTCCTGAAGAACCGAACCTATTGGCACCTCTTGGCGCCCCGGTGGATGGAAAACAATTATGTAAACTTGGAAGAATAACCAATTGAGCAATCCTATCTCCAGGGGAGATAGAAAATATGCCTTGTGGGCAAGAACAGAGAACTTGAAGTTCTCCTGTATAATCTTGGTCTATAACACCAGGATGAACCACAAGCCCCTTCAGGGTAAGAGAGGATCGGCCTAGAATGAGGCCAACGCTTCCCTCAGGCAGGGGACCTTTAAAATCAACCGGGATAGGTTGCACACCCTCATGTGGCATTAATAAGAATTGGGAGATAGAGCGGAGGTCCAACCCTGCGGACCCTCTAGTAGCTCTGCAGTTAGAGATCTCCCCCGGTTGTAGGCTTGTGTCCCATATTTTTTGGGGCCCTGAGACATTGGGCCCGGATATTCGTTTTTTGAAATATTTTCATCTCTTTCTATAGGGGAGGGATCATGTTGAATAATCCTTCCCTGAATGTCCTTAACCGAGCGACATTCATTGGCCCAATGATATCCCTTCCTGCATTTAGTACATAACCCAGGGATTTTCTTTTGTATAGGAGTACGACATTCTCGTTTCAAATGACCCTGTTTACCACAATTATAACATACTTTACGGCCACCAGGACCTGAGCGGCTCTGGCCCTGCAGGATAGCTGCTGCCAGGCCGGCGTTAGTCAGTGGGCCTCCAAGACCTCGGCAGACCTTTATCCAATCTGTCAGCCCTTTGTTTCTCCTAGGGGCAATAGCTGCCTTACATTCTGGTGAGGCATTTTCATATACTAATTGCTCGATCAATGGCTTGACTTGCTCTGGGTCTCCGAAAATTTTGCCTGCTGCTTCTGTCATTCTAGCAACAAATTCTGAGAAGGACTCCTGGGGGGCTTGTAATATTTTTGTTAAATTTCCTCCAGCCTCGCCCCTTTTCGAGAGGGCCTTCCATGCCTTAATTGCGGCGGCAGAAATCTGGCCATATGCTCCCCAATCATAGTTAGTCTGGTCAGCAACATACTGTCCTTGCCCTGTTAATAATTCGAAAGTCCACTGTCTCTGGTTGCCCTCTGCATTAGCGTTGGCCTTTGCCTGTGCTTGAGAAGCGTCGTGCCACAAGGCCTTCCATTCCATATACTGTCCCATATTAGGGAGGGCAGCTTTTACTGTGTTCTGCCAATCATTCGGAGTCATTGCCATAGTGGCAAATCTCTCAAGCTGCATAATTGTAAAATTAGCATCAACTCCATATTTGTTAACCGATTCAGCAAATTCTTTGATAGAAGCATACTCTACAGGCGCGTGGACACGGCCTCCTCCCGCGTCCTCAAACACTGGAAAAGCTTGTAACATTTTTCTTTTGTCTTCCTCTGAAAGGAAGGAGCTTGAGCCGCGTCCGTCCACATGAGGCGGAAGTGCGCCGGGAACATTAGGTTGGGAGGGCGCTACAGGCCGAGAGGCCGTCCGGCTTCTATCTCTCGTTTTCCTCTGCTTTAGATTTTGCGGCGGTAACTGTTTACCTATTTCTTCATCTGAGTCCTCTGAGGAAGTTATCCCCTCCGACTCAGAGGCATCATGCCCCAGCACTTCCTTTACCGGATAAAGAGATCTCTTTCTGAGGCTTCCTGTTCTCCCGTCTCTCCCAAGAGCGTTCTTTCTCTCATCTCTCACTTCCTTGGACTGTGTGTCTTTGGAAGGGCCTTTTTCCTTAAATATACTTTTTCTTCCGTTTTCTTTCTGAATTCCTAAGCGCTTCTTTTCTGTCTCTGTCTCTGACATGCTGATTTGTACTATTCTCCGAACCCTCACGAAAACCAGGAGTAAGAAAAGTGATGCTGCTAGCATCATGGCGAGAGCCTCTAACGTTCCTGCCAACTGGGGAGGGAAGTGAATCAAATCAAATCGAAACATATCTTTCAGAGAACGTTACCCCGTCCTACGGTTCTGGATTCCTCCACGCATGGATGACGAGCGGCGGGTCTTCTAAAAACGTGCCGGCGATGGAAAATTCTCCCGGGTTTTTCGGCACCAAATGTGAGGGGCACGCGCGTGTAGTCGTCTCGCCGGCAAAAACATACACACACACACACACACACACACACACACACACACACACACACACACCAGAATCCTTCCGTAGAAACACGTTTATTCCCATAAACCAAAATGGTGGTAGAAGACGACCCCCAGCCCTGGGAAAAGCCCTTATATACCCTAGAGCGGCGTAATCACCTCTGATTGGCTGTATACTCGTTGCGCGCCAAACGCCGTGGGATGGGCTTAGCTTTGGCGGGCTTTACCATGGCACATGCGCACTTTATTTGTTTACTAGGAAGAATTATGGCTGACAGCGCCACCTAGCGATGGCGGACTTTGCCAGCACCTGCCGCGGCTCCCAACATATCAACTCATCACAGCCAACACAGCGGGGCTTCTCACTGTCACAGTAATGCCTGCCACAGTATAGCTTCCCATTCTTCCAGAAGTAAATCATGTCTACCAGGATTTCACCACAGATGCTGCAGATAAAACAAGCTGGGTGCCAGAGTTTACTGTAGCCAGCCCTTTCAGCATAGATGGCTGGTTCTCCTTCTTTCATGGGGTGTTTGCAACAGTAACAGGAATATTGGATCTTCTTAGACTCCTTAGACTTGTCCTTGGAACCCACTACTGCTGTGGTGTTTCTGTTTCCAGCAAGGTTGTGCACCTTGTTATCTTGAGCATTGATCTCAGAAGGAATCTTCACGTTACCCACTCCCAGAACCTCACTCTGGTATTTCTTCACAAACTGCTTCATCTCTTTTACCTCTTTGCGAGACAACTCATGACATTTAGAAGGGTCCTGGTCATGTGCAGGGAGCTGCTTAGCCAACTGTTTCTTCCGGTACTGTGCCCCCTCTGAACCTGACACTGGCTGCTTTTCCTTAGGCAGCATTTGCATGTACTGTCTGGCAAGTGCCTGGTTCTGGACAGAGGGAGACCAGTCATAGGTAACAGTTTTAAGGGAATCCTTCTTTGCAGGCACTGGATTGCTCACTACCATTACATTGGGTTTGCACATGGGAATTGCTTCTGATTTCAGCTTGGCCATTAAGTTGGTGTATTTGGCATCTTCAGAGAGTCTCCCCACTTTCCTGTTCTCCTCAGTGCTCAGGAGTATGCCATGCTCTTCTTGCCCACATTTGCAGTTACGACATGTTTTCCTCCAGAAGTGTAGTTCAAACCCTGCACACTTCTCTTTGCATTTTAGACAGGGGGCTCCAATTCCGTGCTCGTGACCTGAGCCCATCTGTTACAGTAGAGAACAAAAGGAAACCTATTATTATAAAATTTTTAAAAATTATAATTAAGCATACTTTTAATTCCACTTAACACTCTTGTTGATGTAACACTGAAAAAAATCTTTTATGAGCTTCACATTGTTTAGCTATCTATGACACCAGGTATGTAAATGGAAGCTGAAAGCACATATGTAGAATACTTTATGTTCCCATTGCTTTTATCACAAAAAGAAAAGAAGCAAAATACAATTTTATAGAAGGCTACATCATAGAACTCACAAATTCATGTCTATGACCCTTATGTGCCCTGAATACAAGTACAGGGAGAACAGAGAGGGCAAAGACAGAAAAGCACACAGATAAATGAAAGAGTTTAGGAATTAGGATTAAAGAATTACTATATATTATGGAAGTACCATCACAGGAAAGATCAATATTTATTAAATACCAGAAACAGTATTCTGTTTTACTGACTATTTAAATCTTATGAAACCTCACACATTTGGGAAGCAGCCACTATTGCCCTCTGTTCTTTACAGATGATTTAACTGAAACCCAACAGTTTTAGAATCTGCTCAGGATCAAAATGTCAATGCATTCTACTCATATTCTATTCAATAAATGTCATTACCTGGAAGCCACATCACTGAGGTCTAGCTCTTATGATACCCAAAGGTGTTATGAAGGCTGACAAGGGAGAAAAGCAATGTGCAGGGTTATCCAGCTATAAAATTTAGATTTTACAGTAACTACTCAGGCAAGAAATCCACAATGGTGCAATAGTGCTACTTTTATTTGATGGCTAACCAACATCTGTCTACTAGGACTTAAGACTCACCCTATGAATAGAGATTTATTCCTGGTACTGAAAACCAAACAATTATCTACAACTAAGAGTTAAAGAAGAACTGACTTCTGCTACTTTCCTAAACCTGTAGACTACAGTCTAAATACATAATTTTATAACTGTAGATAAGAGTATCTCTCACTCCCCATCAAAGAAGCATCTCTTGGCAGTAGACAGAAACTATTGTTGGAATCTACAACTGGGTAAGTGTAGAGGACAACTGACTTTGAAACACCCAAACCCAATGATATACCTACAATAGTCCCAGGGAACAGGGAGGCACTGCAAGAACCAAAGGACCAGATGCCTGCTGCTAGATAGTACCTTCTAGATATGACAGGGAAGCTTCACCAAACTAAAGTTCTATTATCTTCTGCCACATGATTGGGTAAGAATTTCTATAGCCTAACCCTCTTTTTCAACCTCAATTATGACAAACAATGATGTTTAAGAAAAGAGATTGGTGATTCATACTCTCTTTTCTTGTTCAGTAGATGTATGCATTTCCAAACTTTTATAATCTGGAATGCGGTTCTAAAACTTGATATAATAATATTGCCTAGAGCAGGCATAACTCCACAAGTGCAAGTCAAATTTCTTCTTATCTGTTTCTCCTGGAGGCTTCTGATAGTGTCATTCTCCCTCTCTCCCTTTCCATTACAGAAGTCAGATGAAGGAAAATGTATTGATTCTACTTTGTAGAATCAGAACAATCCACCCCTGAGATGTATATGATCCATTACACACCTTTTAAGGCATAGTGCCATAGGACTTGGGCTGCCCCAACTCTTTTAAGTTTCAGTTCATAAGCCCCACTTGATCCCATAGCTCCAGCAATTTCTCTCTCCAGTTTACTCCATGTTCAGGATTTCCTGAAATTTATAAGACCCAGAATCCTGACTACAAGTCTTCCCTTTCTTTACCCTCAGCACAAACTACCACAACTGGGCAGAGTCCTCTTTTTCACGAAAGAGATGTTTATTACTTTTGGATACCCAAGTCTTATAGTCTAGTTTCTTTCCAGCTCTCTGTGCTTGAGAACTCTTGGTGAGGACTAATAAAAATGGTGTTAGATAATGATACTCAGAATGCTCTGGATGGGGTGGAAGAGTGAAGAGGGAGGCCTAGATGTTACCTCCTTGCCAGCTAACTTAAACTGCATAATGTAATATATAAGATGATGAAAAACAGATGCAGGGAAACAGAGTAGATGTGAAAACCTGATCCATTCTTCTGCAGCATACCTGGACATCAAACATAGACATTTCCTCAGAGTAAGAGGTTGTAAAAGGTTTTCCAAGCAAATGGACCAAAAGGGTAAACTGGTGTAACCATTGTATTATCTATGAAAATTGGCTTCAACCAAAATTAATTACAAGATACAGGTAAGTACTCTTCATATTCATAAAAACAAATCTACCAAGATAACATTTCTAGTTTATGTATCTTGCCCAAAATGCAAGGATACTTTTGTAAAGAAGCATTATTCAAGCTTAAATCTCCAATTTGTCCTTACGTATCTAAAGTGGGAGATTGCAATACTCCTCTATTATCAATGGACAGGTCATTCAGACAAAAACTAAACAGATATACTTGAGATAACAGATTTATAAACCAAATGTACCTAACAGATATCTGCAGAACATTTTAGCCAAACACAAAATAATTTACATCCTCAGTACCTCATGAAGCTTTCCTCTACATTGGCCACATTTTTAGTCACAAAGCAAGGCTCAATACATATAAGAAAAATGAAAGAATCCCCAGTATCCTATTAGACCATATGGATGAACATTAGATTTCAACTACAACAAGAACAACAATAAAAAATACAACAAGAGTTGACAAACTCATGGAGACTGAACAACTCTACTAAATGACTGGTTGGTCACAGAAGACATAAAGTAATTAAGTACTTTCTAGAATTCAATGAAAATGTCTACACAACATACCCAAACTTATGAAACAATATTTAAGAGGAGAGTTCTTGGAAATTAATACCTATATTTAAAAAATAGATAAATCTCATCCAATCTCATCCTAACAATTTAACAACCCACCTGAAAGCTCTATAACAAAACAAAGTAAGTATACACAAGAGTAGATGTCAAGAAATAATTAAAATGAAGGGTGAAATAAATATACTAGAAATAAGCAAGAACAATAAAAGAATCAATGGAATGGAGAGCTGGTTCTTTTAAAAAAGATCAGTAAGATAGACAAACTCTCATCCAAACTAAAAAACACAGAGAAAATATACAAATAAACAAAATCAGGAACAACAACAACAACAAAAAGCAACAGAACAACAGACCCTGAGGAAATCCAAAGAATCATTAGGTCATACTGTAAAGACCTGTACTCCACAAAATTGGAAAAGCTACAGCAAATAGATGATTTCTTGGTAGATACCACTTACCAAAGTTAAATCAAGATGAGATAAACAATTTATATTGACCTACAACCTCTAAGTGATTTGAACCAAATAATCCAGTGTCAGATGGTTTTCTTGTTTACTTATTCCAGACTTTCAAAGAAGAGTTTATACTAGTACTTCTCAAATTATTCCACAATTTAAGAACAGAAGAAACATCACCAAATTCTTTTTATGATGCCACAATCAGCCTGATATCACAACCACACAAAGAGTCAACAATGAAAGAGTATTACAGATAACTTTCGATTATGAACATAGATGCAAAAATACTCAGCAAAATACTTGTGAACTGTATCCAGGAACACATAAAAAAGATCCTCCACCATGTCTAAGTAGGCTTCATCCCAGAGTTGCAGTTCTCGTTAAACATATAAAAATCAGCCAATGAGTTTCACCATATAAATAAACAAAAGGAAAAACCCCACATGAGGATTACCTCATTAGACATGGAGAAAGTCCTTGACAAAATGTAGCACCTGATTGTGATAAAAGTCTCAGAAAGTATAGGGATACAAAGAATATGGCTAAAAACAATAAAGGCAATATACCACAAACCCATAGCCAACATCAAATTAAGCGGAGAGAAACTCAAAGTAATCTGATTAAAATTGGGAACAAGGCAAGGCTGACCACTCCCTTCATGCCCAATTCATTATAGTACTTGAAGTTTAATCTGGAGCAATAAGAAAACTGAAGGAGATGAAGGGGATACAAGTAGGAGGTGAAGAAGTCAAAGTATCATCATTAATCACAGGTGATATGATTATATACATAAGCAACCACAAAAAAATCTGATAGTATACACTAGCAGTCCCAAAATCTCTACCTGATAAACAGCTTCATTTATGTGGTGGGAAATAAGGAAAACTAAAAAAAAATTAGTAGTCCTCATATACAAACAACAAATAGATTGAGAAAGACATCAGGGAAAAACACCCTTCACAATAGCCCCAAAGCATATAAAATATCTTGAGGTAATTCTAACCAAGCAAATAAAACCTGAATATAACAAAATATTTCAAGTCTTTAAAGAAAGAAAATGAAGAGTATATTAGAAGATGAAAAGATCTCCCATGTTCATGGATTGGTAGAATTAACATAGTAAAAATGGCCATCCTACCGAAAACAATCTATAGATTCAGCACAATTCCAATCAAAATGCCTATACATTCTTTACAGAGCTTGAAACAACAATACTCAAGTTCATATTGATAAAATTCTCTGAATGACTAAAATAATGCTGAATAGATGAAATTCAAGAGGCATAAACATTCCTGATTTCAGCAGTATTGCTGAGCTATGGTGATAAAACAGCAAAATACTGGCATAAAAACGGACAAGTTTATCAGTGTAACTGAATCAAAGACTCAGAAGTAAGTTCATACACCTATGGACACATGATTATGTGTGTGTGTGTGTGTGTGTGTGTGTGTGTGTGTGTGTCTGTGCACACACTCATGGGTGCACACTCCAGCACGCACTTGAAACATGATGGAGAAAAGTAAACACTTATAACAATTGGAATTGGTCTAACTGGACGCCTTGATGTAGAAGAATTCAAAGAAATCTATATCTATTACCCTGCACAAAATTGAAATCTATGTGGACCAAGGACCTCAATATAAAACTAGGTACATTGAGCCTAAAAGGAGAAAGAGTAGGAAAGAGCCTTGAATGGATTGACAAAGGACACAATAAAGAGAATACCTATGGCACAGGCACTA